ATTTTATTTTTTGTATATTATAATGCCTGTCATACTTAATAGTAATTAATTTTTAAAGGAATTTGCTTAATTCCACTTATTATTATTTTTCAAATTTGACCAGAGACAGAGAAAAACTGAAGGTGAGAAAGCAAGCCGCCAGGTCTGGCTTGGCCATGTTGGAATCCAGTGCCTTTAACCACCATGCCACCTGCTGGCCCAACAGTAATTATCTTTTTTTTTTTGGAGAGGTTTTTGCTATAGAGCACGTGCACTCGCCAGACAGACAGAAAGACAGAAAGCGAGAAATCACCTCCCAGGGGGGATGGCCATCCACAATCCCTTCTCCATTCTCCTCGGGATCTTGAGCATGCACACACAAGTGAGTTTAAGTCTGGGATTCGAACTGTAGTCGACCACATGGGAGTCCAGCAACATAGCCATTACACCAACTGCTGGTCCCACTTTTTTTGTTTTTGGAGAGTTGTGTTTTTTTTTTTTTTTTTTTTTTTTTCGATATGGGTGTGCACATCCTATAGGGCGCGTGCACTCACCAGACAGACAGAAAGTGAGAAATCACCCCCCGAGGGGGGATGGCCATGCCGCAATCCCTTCTCCATTCTCCTCTCGGGATCATGCACACGCACCTGGTGTGAGTTTTAAGCCACCAGGTCCGGGACGCGAACCGCGGTCGACTACGTGGGAGTCCAGCGACATAGCCATTATGTTAACTGCTGGTTCCCACACTTTTTGACATTTTAAAAGGAGATCCTCATCCCACTTTTCTTCGACAGCTCACCCTCGAAGGTAGGGCAACTCTTAGTAGAATTAGCTATACAGAATGCCTGTCGCAGGTGAACAGAGATTTACTTATAATCATCTTAATTTTTCCTGCCTCACATACACCCACTGGAGCCATTTGGCAACCTCAGGGGTTGTATCTTCAGTGGTGACATCTTTGATCATCTCCTACATAGTCCCTAACTCCATTTCCCACAGCAGTAGCCACACTAATCATTAAAGGGAGAACACACACCAGTCAACTACTGGGACAAGGGCCACAATCTTATTAGTTTCTTTCACCCAAGAACACCACCACACACCAGGGCTGCTAGATCCTGATTGGCAAATGACTCTAATTTCCCTGGCCAAACTAATTGTCATTATCCTGATCCTCTCATACAGTTTGCCTACACTACTTCTGTTTTCCCTAAAGTAATTTCATCTGACCTCATTTCAAATGCTTTCATAGCCATGCAAATGATGCCTCTTAAGGTCGCCAAGTTAGCTCAGATTGGCCGCTCTCCACAGTCCCCAGTCCAAAATATTTTAAAGACAATAAAACCCATCATTCAACAATGGAAATTTCACAATATCATTCAGTAAGTTGTTAGACATGCAAAGAAGCAGGTAAATATAATCAGAAGAAAAAGTCAATAGGCTCAGAATGACAGGGATGATGAAGTACCAGTTAAAGACCTTGAAACTACAATTATAAACATGCTCAAAGATTCTAAGGAAATCATTAACATACTGAAGAGAAAAGTGACAAGTACCAAAATGTACTAAATGGAATTTTTAAAAGGATTATGTACTTTGGGGCCAGCAGGTGGTGTAGTTAAGGCGTTGGATTCCCACATGGCCAACCACAGTTGGAGTCCTCGACATGACAGCTTGAAAATCATGCCACGTGCATGTGCATGTGAGCCCAAAATCCTGCGAGGAGAATGGATTGTGGTATCGTCACCCCCCTGGGAGGGTGATTTCTCACTTTCCCTCTCTGTGTCTCTGGTGAGCACATGCATCCTATGGCAAAAATCTGGGGAAAAAAATTGTATTTCTGGGCCAGCAGGGAACTTGGTTAAGGGGGCTGGATACTACTTAGCCACCTGAGTGTTCTAGTCCCTGATCTGATGGCTTGAGAAACATGCTATTGGGCAATCCCAAAAGAGATGAAGGAATTATGGCATGATCATACCCTGTGAGCAGTGGTTCCTCACTTTCTGTCCCCCTCTCTCACCACAGAGTGCATGCATCCTCTTGCAAAGTTTAAAAAAACAAAAACAAAAACAAAAAAAAACAAGGGTTATATATTTCTTCCATGATCAAGAAGGACAGAGAGAAAGAGACAGCATCCCCAACAGGGTCTATACTGCAATGCACCAGTATTCTGATCTGAACGAGTAACCATGTTACTAGTTCCCTCATTATTTGGAATAATAATAGGTGAAGAGGTTATGTTGCTGAATAAAATGGCCATGTATTCATTTTATAGTTGCATGAGAGTTATTATTTTAATCTTGTGAAAATAATTTAGCAGAGTATAATATATATCAGTTGGTAATAATTTATGAGACTAAAAGCAGGGTAAGATGACAGCTATTAACTGGTGGTGTAGTAGGTAGTATTTTAGATAGGACCAATCAATCCTGTCATTGATCTCTTAATTAGAAGTGGAATCCATCCTCTCCTCTCATTCTCACTGCCACTCCACTAATTCAGACTATCATTTTCTTTCATGTGATCTTCCTGTCTTACTTCTTCTTATCCAGATCACTGTATGTCAGATCTTTTATTATTAGTTTTGCTGTAGGAAGCATGGGATCACCCGAGGCAGGAAGATAGAGAAAGAGAGAGATCACCTGCAGAGGGGATGGCCCAGATGCAGTCCCTTCTCCGTGATTTTGGGCACGCATACACAAAGCTGGTGTGTTGAATTTTAAGATTCCAACCTTGCAGTCAGTCACGTGGGATCCAGCCGCCTGCCCATCACGCCACCTCTGGCCCAAGCTGATCGTTTAAAAAAACACTTAACGTTATCGTGTCTCTTTTCTCCACTGGCTAGTTCTCTGGTGGGGTCAAGTTCTGCGGGTCCTAAAACTTGCACAATCTGGGTGGCACTTTCTAAAGAACACAAAACTAGGTACAATTGAAAAGGGCCGTGCAAACGACAGGCCTTGAAATTCAAGCTTCCTTAGCTTCATTGCAAATCCGTCTGCCTACAGAGAAAACGAATCTGATCTGGTTTTCTTCTATCTCAGGTTATTTCTCCGCTATTCTTCTAGGCACTTCCTGCCTCGAAGGCCCTTCCCATCCCCTTCTGCCTGGCTAATTCCTTCAGTACTCAAACCACCACGATCCCCCACCTGAGTCCGCCCCCAAAGTCCCTCTCATTGTTCCAAGCATTTACCCGGGGCCACCATTCCGAAAACAGGCTGCTCTTTTTCCAGCACCTTCTAAGCAACCCCTGACCCGGAGAGAGGCACACCTGGCCTACAGAAGTAGGCGGAGCCCTGTAGGACCGTCCGACGTAACTCCTTTCCCCTTTCCGGCCCTCCGCCTCTCCGGAACCCACCAATCCTCAGCTGCGGTTCTAGTCGGAACTACCCAGTAGCGCACGCTGACATGGCTGCGCTCATACTGAGAAGTGTTCGGGAGCTGCTAAAGCGAGTGGACTTCGCGACGGTCCCGCGGAGACATCGGCATAAGAAGAAATGGGTAAGGCCCAGCTGGAGGCGCAGGAGGGGAGTATCGGTGGCCTCTGCTCCTCGGGAAACTTCTCCAG